TTGCGTGAGTGCACTCGTTAATTGTTCATGTTGCGCTCTCCTTGCCTGACCTCTAACCCGACCCGACCCTGTCCCGTTTCAGATTACGTACGAGTCGATCGGTACGGTACAGATGACGTTCCTGCGCCTTCTGTCCGACACGGGACGTCAGAATTTCACCTACACCTGCATCAACTCGGCCGCCTGGTGAGCAGTTGGGCACTCCATTGCCGTGACAACCGTGAACCGGGCTATGTTCGAGAGAAGTCGCCGAAAACAATACAGTTATTGTATGATAAAGTCCGATGCACGCCTCAGCGTCGTTACTGCACGGCGTTTGGTCCACACGATTTAGAATACGTTTAAATGCTCGTTACATCATGAAATGTGTTTAATATCGATAGATGAAAACAGCGATGAAATGGTCTTTTTGTTTAATACATGAACGTTTGTTGTTTCCAGGTACGACTCAACCACACTGAATTACGATAACAGCATCCAGATTTTGGGCTCAGGAAGCAGCATATTCAGCCACTCGGAAAATCTGCGGAAAATCAAAATAGCAGAGGATGAGTGCAAGGTATGGAGGCGATGGGGATGATTCGAAGGTTACCCGTCGACTTTTAGTGTCATGGGCTAGTTTATGTTGCCTTGGTTTTACGACATGGGTCACGGTTAGGTTCCAATACAACTGCTAAGCATGAATTATAATGGGTTAGAATTTATTGACTCATGAATAACGGATATCATAGTATTTTGGTAGGCAGCAAATATCACTTGAATAATAATTCGCAACGCTCCAATAATTTCACCATTTACCGTAGTAAAAAGGGCATTACTGAAATAACCAGTCTGTTCACTCTTTGAACCGCTTTCCCAGGAGAAGCGCGGCCCGGGCCGGATGGTTCTGGAGCTGCGCACCCGGCAGCTGAGTCAGTTGCCGATCCTGGACTTCCTGCCGGCCGACTACGGCCTGCCCAGTCAGGCGTTCGGCTTCGAGGTGGGCCCGCTCTGCCTCAAGTGAGAGCGGACTCTGAGAGAGGAGGGAGGAGGCGCGGCTGCAGAATACATCACACTCCATTTACATTGGGGAGGGGAGGGAGGGGAGGGAGGGGCGGGTCGCACCACTGCTCGCGTCGTGTGAGTGAGGCGGACTGCGGTCCCGCTAACTGAACTGCCATGCGACAGTGACCCGCGCGCACTAGGATAAGGATCGTCGACATACATGTGTTTTTTTATGTTTTATGTGTATGATTGTTAGATATTATTTGCACAAGTACTGCCATTTTGATAAAACCAATAAAAATCACAAAATGATGAATTTGTCTGGAATGTTTGCATCACGTTGATCAGCCGATGTCGCTTTAGTTCTGAAAGGAGGAAGGCACGGGAGATTAGACGTTACAAAAAAAAAAACGCGTCGAGGGAGGCGATGAAGCCAGCGCGGATTTTCCGCGATGGCCACGTGTATTCAAAGTGGATGAGAGGAGGGAGTTCGCGTATTCACATGAATTATTCAGTTGATGTGGCAATACAACCGCAACCATGGGAAGAGCTAACTCCACAGGTTAGCCCTTTAGTCCGATAGGATTCGCTGTCATTCGTTTTTCTTATTCGCCTTTCGTCTTCGGTTTATGATATAAAGACAAGAGGAAACAAATAATTTGGCTGAGGCTTCTTTCGAAAGGGGCGGGTACCGAACATACAAATTTCGTTTTGAACAGTGCAGCTTACGTACGGTGCTTTCGTGAACTGAATAGATTTTGGCGCTGCGTTTGAGTATAGTAGCATAAGCATACCAACTCGGGCATCTGGCTAATACGTTCAGTCAACAGTGTCAGCCGTCGAAGTACCGTCGAAGTCAGCCGTCAGCCGTCGTGTACACGCACGATTGAAAGTGACAGTAATTCCTAAGCTAGACTGTAACTTTACAGTGATACGAGTTACGAGTCACCAAGTGTAAATTTAGTGGCTCGCTATTTTCTCACGGCGACCGACGGGGATAGCCTGTGACCGCAGTCCGCAGCTCGGTGGCAATACTGTCGCGATATATGCGAGCAAAGCCAGTGACGGGGCGATCTGTAACAGCGAGGACAAAACGATGACAACCAACTCCTGTTCCTAATGATTGGCCAATCAAAGCGGGTCACCGATCAAGGCGGCCAAGTGTTTGACTGGAACATACATCCAACGCTGGGCAAATAAGGTGTTTGGCCCAAGTGTAAAATGAGGATGAACATAAGGAATAGAAGAGCTTTGGGTGCCCTTGGCCATAGTAATATTGCCTGGCCGGTAAATATATAAATGAAAGTGAAACAATACAAATAATTTCCACGTCCATCAATTGAGCAGCAGATTGATATTCGCGAATATCAAACTAAAAATTCGATATTCGGACGGGGAACGCAATAACTCAAGAACCAGTGAACCGATTTTGATGAAAATGCCCTCATTCGATTCCTCGTTCCTTATTCCAGCTTGACAGCGATTTCCAGGTCACTAGGTCATGACCTTCAAGGTCAAGGTCAAGGTCAAAGGACGGGGAACGCTCTACAGCCTAAAGTTACCGTCTGATTGGCTTGTAAATGGTCTCAATCGATTCCCCGACCCCGATTCCAGGTTTACAGCGATTTCCAGGTCACTAGGTCATGACCTTCAAGGTCAAGGTCAAGGTCAAAGGACGGGGAACGCTCTACAGCCTAAAGTTACCGTCCGATTGGCTTGTAAATGATCTCTATCGATTCCTCGACCCCGATTCCAGCTTGACAGCGATTTCCAGGTCACTAGGTCATGACCTTCAAGGTCAAGGTCAAGGTCAAAGGACGGGGAACGCTCTACAGCCTAAAGTTACCGTCTGATTGGCTTGTAAATGGTCTCAATCGATTCCTCGACCCCGATTCCAGCTTGACAGCGATTTCCAGGTCACTAGGTCATGACCTTCAAGGTCAAGGTCAAGGTCAAAGGACGGGGAACTCTCTACAGCCTAAAGTTACCGTCCGATTGGCTTGTAAATGGTCTCAATCAATTCCCCGACCCCTGGAAATAGTGACCTGGAAATCGCTGTCAAGCTGGAATCGGGGTCGAGGAATCGTTTGAGGCCATTTACAAGCCAATCGGACGGTAACTTTAGGCTGTAGAGCGTTCCCCGTCCTTTGACCTTGACCTTGACCTTGAAGGTCATGACCTAGTGACCTGGAAATCGCTGTCAAGCTGGAATCGGGGTCGAGGAATCGATTGAGACCATTTACAAGCCAATCGGACGGTAACTTTAGGCTGTAGAGCGTTCCCCGTCCTTTGACCTTGACCTTGACCTTGAAGGTCATGACCTAGTGACCTGGAAATCGCTGTCAAGCTGGAATCGGGGTCGAGGAATCGTTTGAGGCCATTTACAAGCCAATCGGACGGTAACTTTAGGCTGTAGAGCGTTCCCCGTCCTTTGACCTTGACCTTGACCTTGAAGGTCATGACCTAGTGACCTGGAAATCGCTGTCAAGCTGGAATCGGGGTCGAGGAATCGATTGAGACCATTTACAAGCCAATCGGACGGTAACTTTAGGCTGTAGAGCGTTCCCCGTCCTTTGACCTTGACCTTGACCTTGAAGATCATGACCTAGTGACCTGGAAATCGCTGTCAACCTGCAATAAGGAACGAGGAATCGAATGAGGGCATTTTCATCAAAATCGGTTCACTGGTTCTTGAGTTATTGCGTTCCCCGTCCGAATATCGAATTCTTAGTTTGATATTCGCGAACCTTGACCTTGACCTTGAAGGTCATGACCTAGTGACCTGGAAATCGCTGTCAAGCTGGAATCGGGGTCGAGGAATCGATTGAGACCATTTACAAGCCAATCGGACGGTAACTTTAGGCTGTAGAGCGTTCCCCGTCCTTTGACCTTGACCTTGACCTTGAAGGTCATGACCTAGTGACCTGGAAATCGCTGTCAAGCTGGAATCGGGGTCGAGGAATCGATTGAGACCATTTACAAGCCAATCGGACGGTAACTTTAGGCTGTAGAGCGTTCCCCGTCCTTTGACCTTGACCTTGACCTTGAAGGTCATGACCTAGTGACCTGGAAATCGCTGTCAAGCTGGAATCGGGGTCGAGGAATCGATTGCGACCAGTTACAAGCCAATCAGACGGTAACTGTAGGCTGTAGAGCGTTCCCCGTCCTTTGACCTTGACCTTGACCTTGAAGGTCATGACCTAGTGACCTGGAATTCGCTGTCAAGCTGGAATCGGGGTCAAGGAATCGATTGAGACCATTTACAAGCCAATCGGACGGTAACTTTAGGCTATAGAGCGTTCCCCGTCCTTTGACCTTGACCTTGACCTTGAAGGTCATGACCTAGTGACCTGGAAATCGCTGTCAAGCTGGAATCGGGGTCGAGGAATCGTTTGAGGCCATTTACAAGCCAATCGGACGGTAACTTTAGGCTGTAGAGCGTTCCCCGTCCTTTGACCTTGACCTTGACCTTGAAGGTCATGACCTAGTGACCTGGAAATCGCTGTCAAGCTGGAATCGGGGTCGAGGAATCGATTGAGATCATTTACAAGCCAATCGGACGGTAACTTTAGGCTGTAGAGCGTTCCCCGTCCTTTGACCTTGACCTTGACCTTGAAGGTCATGACCTAGTGACCTGGAAATCGCTGTCAAGCTGGAATCGGGGTCGAGGAATCGATTGAGACCATTTACAAGCCAATCAGACGGTAACTGTAGGCTGTAGAGCGTTCCCCGTCCTTTGACCTTGACCTTGACCTTGAAGGTCATGACCTAGTGACCTGGAAATCGCTGTCAAGCTGGAATAAGGAACGAGGAATCGAATGAGGGTATTTTCATCAAAATCGGTTCACTGGTTCTTGAGTTATTTCGTTCCCCGTCCGAATATCGAATTTTTAGTTTGATATTCGCGAATATCAATCTGCTGCTCAATTGATGGACGTATAATTTCCTTGCTTTTCAACCAGTGAAGTTAAACCTTCATGAGTCAATGTAATATAAAGTTAAAACTTTATCAGCAGGATTTGTCTGTGGTGCGCCATAAAGGTAGATAGTTCCAAGACGCGCCGTTATATGTGCGTTCAGCGTTGTGTGCGTTCAGCGTTGTTCGCGTTGTTCTCTGTGTTGTTGTGGAACACATTTTGAACGGATGTAATAAATTTTGTGCTTAACTTTTTTTGGTTTATGGTAAATTGAGAAGTGCGTTCATCTTAATCTGTTTCTTGACCTGCTCGTCAAGATTCATACCGTACCGTTTTTGAGCAGTCCTGCCAAGGTGAGCTTGTTTCTTATCTTGAGTTCAAGTTTGCAATGTTATTTCCTGTTACACAAATAACTTTTGTCAGAGGCTTTCTCTTGGTTATCATTATTAAAATAATTCCATTGTCACTTTCATACACATGAATACAGTTAACTTTCAATGGATTAATGGTGACTTAATGAGCGGCCTCTGGCCCACATTAAGTCACCACTCGACTTTATCCTGCGCCCGTTTTGACCATGATAATTTGATGGTATGTTGAAGTTATTGCAGGTAGAAGGCTACACAATCCCTTCAGTTAATTCTGGCTCTGCGGCCAGTACAAGTTGTCAGTTGTGCACGATATGGTATCTGGCCCATTTATTGAAATGATGAATGATAGCAATAGGTGGTGCATTTCTAGTTATGGAAACGTTTCCAAAAATTAAAGGGGGTGTGTTCCATTTATGAAAACTCGAGTTCCATAAATCAAAACTCATCTTAAATCATGGATATTTTTGGATTTATCAAGTAAATCATATGTTATGTAACATTGTGACTTGTGTTTGTTTTTCTTGATGTTTTTTCCAAAAAGTACTGTAATCTAGCAAATGTGTGGTAGGCAAATGGTGAATATGATGCCCTGATGACAACTTTGTGTAAGTTTCATTTTTGGAAACTGGAGAGTTCCAAGAATGAAAACTAGAAATGACCCTGAGCTCAATGTGATAAGCTTAAAAATGGCATAGCATCATTAAGTGGGCTTGACTTGCAGCAGCTGCTGAATAATTGAAGAGCTTTTAGGTGTTTTGCAGCATTTAGATGTTTCTGTTTGTAAAATAAATCATTTCTGGGCTTGAACAGTCTTTTTCATAGCCTTTTTTGTGTGTGCACACTGCACAATTGGTACATACCTATGCAGTTCTTACCAAGTTGGGCTGCGGTACCTAACTATGCAGTTCTTACCAAGTTTCTGCCATGTCAGCAAGTATTTTTATCACGATAACAATTGCAATTTGCTGTTGTAGTTAAAAAGCTGCTCCTGCTACTAAGGTGCCAATACTTTGCAAAAACACTGAAAATGACAGACTCAACTAACTATTTTTGGGTCAATTGTTGAACCTTATGTTTAAAATGTTTCAATTTCCATTAGCATACCCATATTTTATTCCATTACAACTTTAGGCAAATGACAACATCAAAAGATGTTGCTATGGTTACATTATTAACATGCAGTCTATTAATGCATTTGGCACTCTTCCTTTTTGCACCCTCAGCCCACCTGCTAGGACCTGTGACCACTCTCTGCCCCTGGTCACACCTGGAGTGAGGGAGCAGCCGGGCCGGCCGGTACCCGCCGCCCGCCGGTGGCCGTCTCTCGCCTGCCGCCGCCCCCTGAGATGACCCGATGATCCGCGGCGCTATGAACCTGACGGAGCTGTCGGAGGCCGAGCGGCCGCCCTCGCCGGCGCGCCTGCCCTTCACCTCCGAGAAACACCCCCGCTCCACGCTCAAGGACCTGGCACTGCTCAGGAAACACCGCGAGCTCTGCGATGTGGTCCTCTTCGTCGGCAGCCGGAAAATATTCGCGCACAGGTAAGGACGTCGGAGCTAGTGGAGATGTCAGTCCATGTGAATTGGACTGGAAATAACGTGCTACATAATTTGCTAGGGCACAAAGTTACTTGTGTTTTTGTTTCTGGTTACAAACGGTGGGATTATGTCCTCGAGCTGCACCCGTATCATCCGCTGGGTTATTCTGTCGGCGTATGTCCTTATTTCCACGCCATGCATTTCTTATGATGCCCACATTTCCCACAGAGTTATCCTGTCGGCGTGCAGTCCCTACTTCCACGCCATGTTCACGGGCGAACTGGTCGAGTCGCGTCAGACGGAGGTCACCATCCGCGACATTGACGAGCTGGCCATGGAGCTACTCATCGACTTCTGTTATACGTCCCACATCGTCGTCGAGGAGTCGAACGTGCAGACACTGCTGCCGGCAGGTCAGTGCAACCGCCGATGGACTGGGTGAATCTTGTTAGGCCAGAGGCCGAGGTTCAGATCTAGGTACATCACAGACCAGGATGGTGGAAAGTAGACTGGTTTATATTCACTTAAGTGTTTACTAGACGGCAGGGCTGGCTTGTGTTGTGCTTTGGCGTGTGTCGTGGATATTTTGCGTTGCTACCGCCAAGTGGCAGCCGTCTTTGTTTAGGTCTGTTTTTACGGTCGCAGTATACCATCAGCTGGGTTAGCTCAAGACAGCTGGGTTACTACCGCGGCTGTTGTTTTTGCTGTCTCATTTGCTGTGCGACTCCCTGATGTCAACTTAGTGTGTGCTGTGCTAGTTTGGTTCAAGCGGTGACCAGTCGTGCTCGTAATTACCTGACGGAGCTTGTGTAATTTAAAAGCTCATATAGCCTGTTGACTACTTCATTGGCATTCTAAAGTCGATCAGGTATTAACAGCAGCTGAGTTATTTTATGTTGAGTTGTTGGACCATAATTTGCTCTTAGCATAATATCTTTTAACGCTGGTCCAACCATCGAGCCACTGTCGCAAAAACGGATTTAATATCACACAACCCACCTTTCTCTCCCTGCAGCGTGCCTTCTGCAGCTCACCGAGATCCAGGAGGTGTGCTGTGAGTTTCTGAAGCGGCAGCTCGACCCCACCAACTGCCTGGGAATCCGGGCGTTCGCCGACACCCACGCCTGCAGAGAACTGCTCCGCATCGCCGACAAGTTCACCCAGCACAACTTCCAGGAGGTGCGTCTGAATGGAGACGGTCTGATATAGTGATGTCAATTACAGAAAATACCGATACCGATACCAAACCAAATACCAACTTAGACCGTGAGGAATTACCGAAACCAAACAAACTTCAGAACATGAGGGAAATACCAACTTTTTACCAATTTCTCGGCCTCTTATACATAAGTGTGGGCTCATAATGCCAACAAAATCCGAAACACATTAGGATTGAAATACCAATTGCCAAGTTGGTATTGGTTTGGTATCGGTATAACAAAAGGTTGGTATCCGATTGACATCTCTAGTCCGATAGGTGTCCGAGTTATCCCCATTTACGTTTGCGCTAAGTTGTGTCCTCTTATATACTGTTTATCGGAAATGTGACCTGAAGATTGGTGCAGAATCTGAGCTTGCCAGTTACATAATCTTATCGTTCTGAACATGAGCTTGATCGAATTAGCTAATTTCAGGCCTTGAAACTTTCCCACGTTTAGTTAAACATCAACGCGACCCAATAAATTTACGTTTGCGACTGACGACAGTCAAAGAGAACCACTGACAGCTTTTTCTCGCATTACTGGATTACCTTGTGTTCCCAAAGGTGATGGAGAGCGAAGAGTTTCTCCTGTTACCAGTCAACCAGCTGGTGGAGATCATCTCCTCTGACGAGCTGAACGTGCGGAACGAGGAGCAGGTGTACAGCGCCGTCATGTCCTGGGTCAAGTACAACATCTCCGAGAGGCGACATCACCTGCTGCAGGTGCGTTCATAGGCGGGTTCATTGAGCCGTCACAGTCTACAGTTCTGGTGATAGTGGTTGATCAGATGCTAGCGCTCTGAATGGTTATTTTTACCTACCCTCTTGCAGTGTTCGCACCTTTCACTTTCACCACTTTCAGTAGGTAACTTCTTCGTCGATAAATGGTCATTGCTTGTCGAAGTTAAAAGATAAACGAAACAACATTCTAGATGCCGACTCGAATAAGTCTTTTATCGTTATTTTTCCGTTTTCATATTGCAGGTCTGTGCTGGACATCGAGGAGCTCATTCAGGCGTGTCTTCGCCCGCGTTTTGCTTCGACTGACTGTTACCCTCCGTTCACAGATCCTACAACACGTCCGGATGCCGCTGCTGAACCCCAAGTTTCTGGTGGGCACCGTCGGCTCCGACCTGCTGATCAAATCGGACGAGGGCTGCCGGGATCTGGTGGACGAGGCTAAAAACTACCTGCTGCTGCCCCAGGAGCGACCTCTGATGCAGGGGCCGCGCACCCGGCCGCGCAAACCCATCAAACGCGGCGAGGTCCTGTTCGCAGGTAAGGATCCACCCTGTAGGCATGGATGAGGAATACTTCATCCATGGTGTAGGCTTGGTTGTGAGGTCTCTGACTAGCTAGCACATCAGGCTATTTGGAGGTTGATGACTCACTAAGAGCAAGCGCATTGGCTCCATCCTGAGTTGACACGAAACTAGTAATCGTTTCACCCCGTTTCGCCTCTAACACTGACCGTCCCCACCAATGACCGACGATCGACGACCCCCCCCCCCCCTCCCCCACCGCTGAGCGATGACTGTCCCCCCACCACAATCTGCCTCGCAATCACTGATTACTGTCTAGTGTCTACTCACCCACCGACAATCCCACTCTACCTAGCCTTTGAGCAATTATCAGGTACTGTCCGGGTCCCGCCGCCACCACTGACCGCCTCTCCCCGCCCGCAGTGGGCGGCTGGTGCAGCGGCGACGCGATCGCCTCTGTGGAGCAGTTCGACCCGCAGACCTGCGAATGGCGCATGATGGCGCCCATGTCCAAACGGCGCTGTGGCGTCGGCGTGGCGGTGCTGGATGACCTGCTGTACGCGGTCGGAGGACACGACGGACACTCTTACCTCAACAGCATCGAGAGGTGGGTGGCGCTGATGGCCAGGTTGAATGCGTGGTGAAGAAGTTGCGCAATGTGCTGTTAACAGTACGACTGTAAGATTTGTCATTATTATACAGATGATATTATATTATTGTAGCTGATGTGTAGGACGAAATTGTTGATATGATTGACTGCACTCAATCAGTTTTCTTGAACCTACGCGTTATATGCGCCGACTCAGACGAAATCTCTGTTACATTACAACTGTGATTGCATTGTTAGATAGTTGATTTGATTAGATTAGATAAGATTGTAAGATTGTACATTGCGGTATCCTTTTGGGATCTACCGTATGTGATTCGTCTTCTCAACTCCGTTCTCATATTCTGAGATCTATGAGTGGGCCACACTATGCCGTCCCACTACATTAGGACTCTCACTGACCCCCACCCCTCCCCCTCTCTCAGGTACGACCCGCTGTCTAACCAGTGGTCGTCGGAGGTGGCCCCCACCTCCAGCTGCCGTACCTCGGTCGGAGTGGCCGTGCTCGACGGGTACCTGTACGCCGTCGGCGGACAGGACGGCGTCTCCTGCCTCAACTTCGTCGAACGGTGAGTCCGCCGGGCTAAGAATGAGTTGACGTTTTTTCATGGAGATCATTTGTCGATGAGGTGGTCATGAGACACCGTCTTACGGCCACATTTTGTCTGCTAATCATACCATTACCACATTTCTTGTGGAAAACAATGGCATTGGTGTATGCTGTTATAGACTTTGCAAAATTTGTTGACAAGGTGTCTGGTATTGACTCGTATGTTTGTGTTTTTGTTGTTCAATTTTCGCTCATCTGACGTGACTCCCTTTCCCCAGCTACGACCCGAAAACGAACCGCTGGAGTAAGGTGTCGAGTATGACCACCCGCCGGCTGGGTGTGGCCGTGGCTGTGCTCGGGGGTCTGCTGTATGCAGTCGGCGGCAGCGACGGGCAGAGTCCGCTCAGCTCAGGTGAGATACGAAAGAGACAGTCTGGTTTGAGGAAGGTTAAGTAATAACTAATCACACTGGTCAGTATAGAGTAGATATTCTGATATCAGCTTAGGTCAATATGGAATAGAAATCCAGACCGACAATCCGCTCGCTCGAATAAGACCGATGTTAGGAAGCCGGGTCGATCATCCCGAAAGTTCAGGTCCTATGACTTGTTAGACACTGAGCGGTTATGTTCTCGCCCATTTCCAGTGGAGTGTTACGACCCGAAGACGAACCGGTGGACCATGGTGCCTCCCATGTCCACGCGGCGCAAACACCTGGGCTGCGCCGTGTTCAACAACATGATATACGCTGTGGGCGGCCGTGACGACTGCACGGAGCTGTCGTCGGCGGAGCGCTACAGTCCGGCCACCAAACAGTGGAGCCCCATCGTGGCCATGAGCTCCCGGCGCAGTGGGGTGAGTGGCTGGGGCAGCTGAGAGTCAGCTCGGGCTAAGGTCAGGTGTGGCTTTGATGCGTAGTCTTTTAGATAAGCAAACAGCAGGCTGATGTTAGTTACGCTGGGCGGACGGGGGTGGGGCTGGAGGGTTTGTGGCTTAGGGGAATGGTTGGTGCACTGTTCGGAAGGTTGGAGCTGCTGTGAAGGAACCGAGGGTTGAGCGGCGGCAAACTGGCAAAGGGTAGCTGACGAGTAAGATTGAGGGACTTTGTGTTTGTGGGAGCCGGTCAATCGGTACTCGATAGGTTGGCGGCGAATCGGAGCAATTTCACTACCGTCACTCTATTTTTTTTTTTGGTAATAATTACGGAAAAGGGAAGCTGCTCTACGATGTGTGTGTGTGTGTGTGTGTGACGTGTGATCATGCTACTTTTCCGGTCGATGTTTGCATTAATCGCGTTCTGCATTAGCTCTCTTTGAATTGGTTACCAATGACGTTATTCCCGCACAATGACGCACACCGACACACCTGTGTCACGCTCCCTCCTCCACTATTGTTCCTGCACGAGCCCCATGTGTGGCGTCCGTCCGCACCTGCTTACTCCACGCCCTGTCGCGCCGCACACCTGTAACTGAAGTCCACCCTCCGCCCCGCTAGGCACATTGTCCTATGGTGACTAACAGACTTGCCGTCGCTTTACGCCGTTGTTACTTCACCTGCCTTATGATAGCTGGTGGACGTCGCAGTCGCCTACCACAACCGATAGACACACTATCCCATGACTGACTGACGCCCCCTTCCTTGCCAGGTCGGCCTGGCCGTCGTCAACGGTCAGCTGTACGCGGTCGGCGGCTTCGACGGCACCACCTACCTGAAGACGATCGAGATGTACGACCCGGACGAGAACACGTGGCGGATCTGCGGCACGATGAACTACCGTCGGCTGGGCGGTGGGGTGGGCGTGGTGCGGCTGCCTCCCAGCGAGAGCCAGCTGTGGTGACGGCCGTCACTGGCGGCCGGCGGCCCCCAGAGCCCCAGTCCGCCGCCGCCGCCGCCCTGCCGCCGCGCGGTGTCGCTGAGGAAGGCGCACGGCTGGGCCGGGGATGCCGAGTGAGGAGAGTTGGACTCGGAGTGGTGGGAGAGGCCGTCTGACGACACCAGACGTAGGGTTGATTGAGTGTTTTCGGTCAGACCGAGTGATGAAATCTGAGGCGGTGGATAGTGAGAACTGAGGACGAAGAGAGTCACGGCGCTAGGCGGGGACAGACATACAGGCAGACAGGCCTGATCAGAACCAGAGGGAAAGTCATGGCGGCTGGACTGCTGCACTGCTGTGGAATGGGATGAAGAAAGACTACGGTCCTGCGCGTATGGCGGCAATGGCGCCCCGCGACACCAAGTGATCCAGTAAGACATGAACATACAAGTGCCACAGCTGTTGTCACAAACTGCAGCGTCCGTGCTGTTGAGTGTTGACGCAGGAGTTGTGGACTGCCACCATGACAGATCTTGACGTAAGACGCATTTGTGCGCGTCTGGTACTCTGGTGTCAGTGACGGCGTCGGCCGTCGCTCGTACTGCCAGGAGCCGACTCCCTGGGCCCTGGGACGGTGGCGGGCTCTGCCCCGTCCAGAGCTCTGCGTTTAACCTCCATTGTACTGCCGACTGGATACCGTTGATCGCCACCCGCCGTGTGACATAGGCTGCTGTGTGACCCGACTATGACCTCATGACCCGGGCGCTGCCGGGGGTCACGGCGCGGTCAGGGGTCACACAAAGGTCAGCATTCCAGCGGTGGGCGCTGCGCGTTTCTTCAGCCCACCGTTCTGGTGGTCGGTGCTTTCATTGCTGGTTAGCAGCTGGCGAAAAACTGCATCTTCAGTCTAGAGTGAGCTTTAAACCACACAGACAGAGGACTCACATTTCAGAGGACTCTAACATAAGGTGAAGTGTGGTGCATCTATCCGCGTTGTGTAATCATGTACGTGTAAATTATAGACGTCGCGCCGTGCGCCGCCAGCATTTGTCGTCCGCGGGACTGATACGATCGGATTAAATTCTGCTCAGAAGTTACTTAAGTCATGCTTCTATCCCCCGTACATGGCGATATGGGGGGGGGGGGGGCGATGACGCCTCTGGTCAGGCTAAGGGGCGCGGCATGTCGCTGTAGCGGTTCGTGAACCACCCCGCCCCAACTTACGGTCTCAGAACATTATTGTGGACGAGGCGGCCTGGTGAGAGAATCGGGAGTCTAGCCTATGATGCATTTCGCTGATATGAAGCGGATGTGAAGTTCAATGGTTGCTGTGTGTATTTGAGTAATAAACGGCAACTTGTGCATTGTCTGTGGGATGCTTCTTCGCCTTGTTTATTCGGTTTATCTTTTATCCAGGTTAGGATTGCATGGAGCGAACGATTACGTAGTGATTTGACGGCGGTGTACCTGAAGTGTGCTCATTGAAGTTGCAGCTTCATTATACGCATTATCCCCTCGTCAGGCTTGTGGCATACAACTCATACTTCACACCCATAAACACACAGCGTTCACACCGAACACAGTGTATTGACTCTGGGCCTTCCACCGTCCGGCCTACCATCCGTCCACCGATCTCTGGGAATGTCATATCGCTGACCGCGGGGCCGGTACCCCCAATCGTTCCGATCCACCTATCGCTGACGGCATATCCAGTAGGGTGCCGGGGTGCTCTGCAGGACCGGGCAAAGCTCAGAGTGACAGCGACGGAGCTACAGTGGAAGCGAAGTCTACGGGAACACAGGCCCGCGTGCCACGTGAAACAGCTCTCACCAGAGTACGGACAGTGGTATGGTTATATGTACACGATAACAAAGCCCGAATCCACGCCACCAGCCACTGACTGTGTGACCGGGTGGCGGGCGAAAATACGGGTAAATTCCCTACTACAGCCCACTACTGAGCGACAGACAGAATAGACGGCTATACTCGTACACGTTCGTTTAAATTACATACACATGCACCCGAGCGAACCAAACGAGCGACTACGTTTAGTGACAAGCATCGATTACAGTCTTTCTGGCGCGCGGCCGCATTGCTACCGAGTCGCCATGGCACCAGCACCTGTTTGATCTAGGACTAGGCGACGCGACCTAGCCCGTCATAGTCATTCCGCCCCACTGCATGGGCGCAGTCTCCGCCGAATGGTTCTAAATACTCCTTGGCGGCGCTGACGCTCAAACCGCAACACAGATGCGTCTTGGCTACCTGCTTAGACAGCTCTCGTGTGCAGAGAAATCAGAGGAGTTTAATCTACGCGCACACGGGGTCGTAGCGGGCGCAGAGAGCACATGGACCAGGAAAAATCCCGCTCTCTGGCCGGCCGGAACACAGAGGGTTTGATGAACTGAACAGTCCGGTTCGTCGGACTGGTCTAAAGAGTCACCCGAGTCAGCCGTCGATGGTGACTCGATAGGTACCCCGGGACGTGACTCTAACCTAATCGAGACCACGCCGGTCGTCTAGAGAGGGGTTCAGAGACCTCGCGTCTACCGCCGCGAACACATCGAGTCGGTAAATCACAGCTGGTAGTGAACCACGGAATCGTAGACACAGAAATACTCCGCGATGTGCTGGTAAGCCTGTGAGTAAGTCTAGTGTTGCGTCGAGCCGGTAAGCTGACTACACGTTTTGCCAGTCTGAACAACAAATGACTTCTAAAGGGACGACCGTGTCACTAGGCCGGGGTAATTAGATTAGATATGCTCTCTCATCACTGGGCTAACCAATCGTCACATTCATCCCAACATCCCTATCCGACAATCAATTCGCCTACATTCGTCCAGAGCCGACCACGATACCTATAACTCGCTGCCTAAACACAGAGACCACAGCGAACCCCTACACGGTTCCAGCCTCTCCCGGTTAACACAGAATTCCGGCGGTGGCCGCTGCCGCTCACCAATAAATACCCAGCCGACGGCCCGGCCGTCCCGCCGCGGTGGCTCTCCTCCATCTTTTCCACAGCGGCGGGGGCGGCCGGCCGGCTCCGGCTGCCTATGATGTGGCCATCGGCTGCGGATCAACCACGATCGGTACTTTGTCGGAGGCGGCGTTACCCAGCATCTCCTCCCGCGACGCCCTGGGGACACGGACAGGTCAGGTCAGCGCTCAGTCACATCAGTCACGTCAGAGCGGCTCAACATCAGCTGCAGTAACACGGAATGTCAGTGTCCTTCACGGGTCAGCCATAAGTATCATATCACTACACCAACATCCGGTCAAATCCATCCGCATGACTGGACACAACACCCATGGCAACGCCGACGATGATTCAGCAATGACGTCACGGCGATAAGGAGCGATGCGAAGCGCGGAACACTCCGTATCGGCGCGAAACGGAGGTAAAACGACAGTTAAACCTTCTCCGTAGGCGCTCATGAACCCGTGAATCGTGATTGACACAAAACTTACTCAGGCATAACATGCAATGTCAATGTTTACCGAACCGATTACTATCTTTTAACATCTTTAGAACGGTATAGTTATGTAAGGACATCAAAACGGCTTCTCTTCACCAGTCTATGTCCGCCTGCCCCGGTCTCCACAGGTCTCTCTACCTGCCCCCACTGTACCGCGGCGGGGGCCCCACTGCACTGTACCGCGGCGGGGGCCTTTGTTTCCCGTCAGCAGGTGCGCCGTTTACACCACTTATCGACTGTGACAGGCGGCGACCAACGAACGGAGGGGCGGGGAGGGACAGAAGAGGAGCGGGGAGGTTATCGGTCCCACGCGGACCCGTATCTCTGCGCACTCGGTGACGTGGGACTACCGTACTCGGCGGATAGGTGTTAAGGTCGACTGATAGAGACACAGAGGTCGAACAACACCTGTGGAACGGACACGACGACGTACGTCAGACTGAGAGAATATGTGGCAACGGGAGCTCAGATCTCGACCACACCGGTATGTCCGAATGACGACGGTTCTTAAGCACCGGTAGCCGAGACAATCAAATCTGGGTGGTGGAAATATAGGTTGACCGACGAACAGAGAGTCCCATTCAGTCTCAAGTCAGAAGGACATAATTTTCCGGCTGCGTGAATCGCATCAACATGGAGGAGCTCGACCGTGCAGAACGCAGATCGCTATTATTAAGAATGCACTCGCACGAATGGGATATGACATAAAATGACTATCCAGCGTAGACGCTCCCGATAATTCCGTCAAAGTAAATAATCAAGTAAAAACGGCATGAGAAGGATCAGAGCTGCTGCCGCCAGGGAAGGATCAATCAATCAATCAATTAATGTATTCATAGGTACATCCACCATACTTCCGCACTCGAGTCACACTGCGTCAATACGAATAAAAACAGATGAAAAGAGCGGGTAAAAGAACGGGTAAAAGAGACGGCGCTGACCATACGACATAAGACAACACAAGCACACAAGCTCAGCTTTACCCGGCCCCGGCGATCGATACTTCCCCGCCCGACTGTACAAGGACAGAGGCAAATAGGTACACATAACCGTTTGCGACGCTCCAAGGATAGAACGTTTGACGTTACTCGTCCATTTGCCGGTTTAGTTGGGATCCGAACGACCGGAGAAAACGAAGCGGATCAGAAAGTGTGTGATCATTTGTCAAAAAGCTACTGGGGACATAGCGTGGGTTTCCCAAAAATGCCTAAAAATATCAAGCATATGAGGATCAATGAACACTAAACACTCACAACTATTAACATAAACACGCACAGCGAACATAAACAAGGACACATAACAACCATTCGTGCGGTGACGAGCAAGGCCACTGCCTGATCGAACAGTCTCGTGCTACACTTGACAATTACGCAGCATATGTAATACACAAAGGTTCCGCTGCAGCATCTGTAAAATCGGCGCGATAAACTAAAAAAAAACGAACAAACAAGCGTCTTCACTGTGTGCCTTGCACACAACGTTGTCTAGAGCAGTGATAGAAGGGTGAGCATCAGACTTTTGGCATACATGTGAAACATTGTCTCCAACACAGCGTGTGGAAGCGGTGGGTGACTGACATTGAGCACATGCACATCACATCACACTGACAGCCATCCAGTAGCTAGCCAATCTCAGCATCTCCTCTGCATGCCTAAATACACTACCATATCTAGACACCAACAACGCAGCTCATTATCCTACACAGGGCAACATCCACAGCATCACAGTCATTTGCATGTCATTAGCTCTCACGGACAACACCCACACAAACCGACATGTCCGCGGTCTGTCCGTGCCCCGGTCAGGAGCTACGGGTTGGGCTGCCACACGGCCGGGTCACTGAACAGGGCCTGTTTGGCCTGAGGAGCACCGCCCCCGCCGCCGTCCGAGCCGCGGGCAGTGGCCAGCATGTCCTGTAGGTTACCCCTGAGAGGCGGCGGCCGGCGTCATCGGTGGGCCTCGGGAGAAAAGGCATGGCGCCGGGAAAGGGAGGTGACAGTGCGACATGGTGACCCTGTGATGGGGATCGGATGTTTTTTGACAGTGAGCGATAACATAATATTCGCCCATTACCTGCCAAGTGAACGAACGAAGGTGATCGATCGATCTTGAACATAAGCCCCATCTACAATACTGCCCTAGTGTGCCCAGTGGGGTGTAATGTGTGTAACAAAGCGAACCAGAGAAGATCAAAGAAGGAAATATTTGATAAGCAGATCCCCAAACATCGTGCACATACGACACAAACAATCATTGACAAAATGACTGGCATGACTGATCAAAACAACAAAGCCACTTACTTTTTGCCGAGAGCCATCAGGCCGTTCAGTACGCCGGCCGAGAAGATGAGTCCCGATCCGATAATGATGGACGCCGTCTGGCACATGAGCACGGCGGGAATGGCGATCCTGCGACAGACAGAGACACGACGTCAGGGGTCAAGAAATTACAGAAATGGTATCCCAGATACACGCGAGGGCAATACGCTCAGCCGCCGTGCAGCCTATAAAGATGCTTGCCAAAATGCAGTCGCGGTCATTTAAAGCATGTCATTGAAATACGAGCGGAGCGTTTCGGGAAATTAACCAAACTCCCGCTGTATGCTGGTGGATCGGCTTTCTTCCTGAAACCTAACGGCCTGACTAACGCGACAGCTGCAATTGAACTCCCGTCCCCGCAACTCTGCAAGCCTGAAACACGACACGCCAGTATGCCACTCCCTGCCAAGTGCCAACAGAAGCCATATAACTGGTACATAACTAGCACACATCGTAATGCCCCGTGGCAGCTCTCATAACTTACGCGATGTAGAGACCGCCCTTGAAGAAGGCTGAGGCGTTCTCCATCTTCTTGCTGAGGTTCTGCACGAAGTCGATGAACATGCAGAGGAACGGCGCCTCCAGCACTGTCACCAGAAAGCCGGCCATGCTGCCACAGAGGAGAACGCGCGGCGTCACCGGGGAATGAGAACGACTCGCGACACTGAAGGTCAGTGCATTACGATACAAAATATCTTGGTAAGGCCCGACCTGCCACAGCAAGTGACGGAACCTGACCAGGAGCGATCGGTTTTCAGTGTATGAGATAAAACGTAAAAAAGGACGACTAGTTTAAAAAGCCTGTACTGACGACACAGACCGACTGCCAGTTTGTCATTTGGGCGCACGGCAGTGCCAGCAAACCGGACGTCTCCCGAGTACTCACATCTGCCAGATGCCCGCCAGCAGGTACAGGGGAGTAACAGTGACACAGTTGAAGGCGCCCAGACCGATGGCGACTGAAACAGAGCCGATATTGAGTTAACCATTCCATAGAGTGGCAGCATGTCACATTTATGAACAATGTGAAGGACATGACTATTACAAAACAGAAGAGTGTACAATTGAAAAGTAACAACCCAGCATGTATCAATGTTTCTTCTAACAGCCCCAGCCAGCACACTTTGTTTGTCCACTCACTAAGTCCTCCCACAGCACCCAGGGCCTTGGCTGCATACTTCATCCACCAGGGTGCCTGGTTGGAGGGGGCCTGCTGCTGCGGCAGCTGCTGAGGCTGGCCTGGCTGACCAGCAGCTGGTGGTGGCTGAGCTGAGTTCATCATGGCTGAGGAGGGAGCAGGGGCAGTTGTTCAGCTGCAGGGCAGACTGTCCAGTGCAGCCACAATACTGGACTTACTGGATACTACCACAATACTGGAATCTACTGTCTCAGACTCCTTAGCATGTTGTTAGATAATACATTAGTAGAAATGGTAGCAGATGATAGGGTAGAATTTAAAATATAAAAAAACCTGAAGCTTTACATTTGTAGATTTTTTTTACAGAAGTAAGCTTCTTAATTGGAGGCTGGCATGCAAAGTACATAGGTTAAACTGTAAATGGTAAGCAAGAAGATATGGAATAACATTCCAAAACAGACATTAAGGTACTAAGTGCAATGTTGCATAGGTATAGTCAGGAACTTGGCAAACTACCCCTAACACTCAGCATGCAAAGGTAATAACTGCATAATCCTGTAAAGAGCTACCTATACATTAACTTTATGCTCATGACTAATTTGTAGTTCTACCTTATAGAGCATGTAAGGTAATAAAAACACTACTTGACTTGACTTGACACTACTTCAGACTATGATGTGCATTATGCATGCCACTATGTAAGACAAGGACAATAAGCTAAATATTGGGAAATAGCTATTGGGAACTCAAGAATCCAACTTATTACTATTTAAGGTCTATGAAACTGTTGCAATGTCTAACAAGAGACACAAGCATTGTGGGGCAACCTTGTCCAGCCTGCAGCCTGCATTGCCCAGTTTCTTGCCTCAGGAGGCATCTGCTGGGCTGATTGCATCATGGCTGAAACATTATTACTTGCTTAAATATTACATCTTAGGCTGGGTACCAAGAGGCAAAAGCCATCCCAATATCAGAATACCTATGCGAGTCACATGAAATCCGTGCTCGACATGAACCATTACTGAAACTTTAACATAAATGATGTCACACTGCATCAGTGTATATGTTCATACAGCTAATACAAACATTTTCTTACACATATTCAAACCCCCAATCCACTCAAAATCCAACCATATTGATGTTCCCCTCGGCTCTGCTCTGACTACCACCAGTGCAAGGGTGTAGTGACCAGGGTGTAGATAAAGCACACTTGATGATGCTCACCTGAAGTCAAATAAAACAAACAAAAAGCAAAATCACTTCAAGTTCCTGTCTTTATCCAGAATCTGACGTTTAACGTTTGCAATGGATTTTTGACACACTCCCACCAGAAGCCTGATATTGATATTGTTCACGAATGGCGACTTCAAAGCTTGCAGGAATACAGTCTGAAGTTACCGAAGGAATCAAAATGTAGGTAAATAAGCGGCCTAAAATTACAGCCACTGAACTTATGCTACTTTATTCTATTTTTACCTAACGGACCGTGCGAGAGACAGCACAGCAACAACGATCGAGATCGCAATTTGGTAAGGTTTGCCACACATCATGACTATCAAACAAAAGATCAGAGGAATATGATGACGTATATATGTATAATTAAATGTTTACTTCTGCAGAACAGAAATCTGAAGTACTTTACTCACTTCATAAATTACACATTTAAATCTAATAAACAGCAAATAGTTCAGAAATTGATGGTTAAACCAAAAAATACAGCATTTGTTTTAAAACGCAATTTTAGCTCGAAGAAATGCAATAAAGATTGTAGCAATGTTTGGGAAACCTGCGCAGCTCTGACGTTTGTGGAGTAAAATGTTTCCTAATGTTTGACAGTAGCAGCTTGCCAACACATCGTCTACAGATATTTACTCCTTGAGCGTGCATCGAGCTCTAATAGAACAGTAAATCTTGATTTTTCTTCTGCAAACTCTGAACCATACAATGCTCCTTTTACCCTAAGAGAACTTAAACTATCCCTAGCAAAGGCAAGCACTAAAACTTCGGTAGGACCAGACTCCATTCCATATTCTTTTTTCACAAAATTGAACGAACTCAACCTTTCCACACTACTGATAGCATTCAACAAACTATGGACTGAGGACAACTTCCCAGATGAATGGCTTAAAAGTATAATCATACCTATCCTCAAACCCGGCAAAGACCAGCACGACGCAAATTCGTATCGCCCAATCTCACTAACCAATTGTGTTTCCAAGATTTTCGAAAGAATGGTAAACAGGCGCCTGCGATTTTACCTTGAGAGCAACCATTGCATTGATATATGTCAAAGCGGTTTTCAGAAAAATCGTAGTACGGCAGACAATATCATTCGCCTTATCTCGGACATCCAGGTAAACTGGGAACATAGGCGACCGACTGTTGCCATTTTCCTAGATCTAATGTCAGCCTTCAACAAGGTACACAGTTCGACGATAATTTATAAGCTGCACTCAATCGGAATCAGAGGCCATTTGGCTGCTTTTCTTCAAAATTTCCTAAAACCCCGAACTTTCAAAGTTCGTTGCCAAGCGACACTTTCTGACGACTTTGTAATGGAACATGGCGTCCCTCAAGGCAGCGTGCTGTCACCTACGCTGTTCTTGATTGCCCTGAACGATATGCTCCTACTCCTGCCACGTGTTCTAACATTTTCTGTCCGCTATTCGCTTTTTGCTGATGATATAGCAATATGGGTATCCCACAAAAACTACAAACAGGCTTATTCTATATTGCAAACAGTGGTTGATCACTGCGTTAAATGGTGCACAAAATGGGGATTCTTTTTGTCAGCACCAAAATCAGTCATGATGGTCTTCAAACGTGGACCTCGACCATCGCTTGAAAGATCCCCACACATCGATGGGATTAAAATACCTTTTTCCACGTCACACAAATTTCTAGGGATCATTTTGGATACTAATCTAACCTTCCGTCAACACGTTGAGCACCTAAGAGCACGTTGTATTAAACGAATCAATGTCCTAAGATGCATATGTGGGTTTTCTTGGGGTGCGGACAGGAAAACATTGCAAATGTTGTATATTGGGCTAATCAGATCTACGATTGAGTACAATTGTTATCTGTTTAGCACACTGTCGCCCAGTTTATGCAAACGTCTAGAAGCCGTCCAATCAACGTGCTTGAGACTTCTAACTGGGGCTTTTCGCACATCGCCAGTTCTTGCGCTTCGTGCAGATACCGTCATTCCAGCACTTGATGACCGACGCGTCTTTCTTTTCCTCCGCTATTACTACAGAGCAAAAAGTGTTCGAAATCACATTGCGGTACCAGCAATGGAGGCGAGGAAACCAAGAACCCGACGCCCACTGCGTAGATCGTGCTTTCTACCCGGGTGCCTTGAGCAAGCTCATCAACTGCTAAACATTAGGCGCACTGAAGTTACTCTAAATCCTCCTATGATTCCATTTTGGCTCCTCAAAGACCTATCCATTGAATTTCTTTTTGATTATAAGAAGACCAGTATACCTCCGGTGGAAGCTCAAATGCTCTTCCAGGAGTATGTAGAGCTCAACTGCGACTCTGCTTTTTTCTTCACAGATGGCTCATGTCACGAAAATCAGATAGGTTCAGCAGCCGTCGGCCCTGGGCTTAGGTTTGGGACCCGGCTTCAAGAATTTACGACAGTCTTTAGTGCCGAAGTTCACGCAATCGAAAAAGTTATGGAGCACATCAAGGCAGAAAAGATTGATCGGGCAACCATTTGTACTGATTCGAAATCCGCTCTTCAAGCACTGGAAAGGACCGATAATGTTACCCACCACGGTATCTACAATATTCTCAGGATCACATCAGATCTCAATGAGGGCCAGCATGTGACCCTTCTTTGGGTTCCAGGTCATTACGGTATTGCAGGAAATGAACGTGCGGATGTCCTCGCAAAGGAGGCTGCAATGCGACCTGATCCAGTTGTGGAACCTATGGCCCAAGGGGACGCTATTCATATGATAAAAATCAAATTCGCCGAGTACCTTCAACGCAAATGGGACCAACATCATGCTGCACATATGTATGCGATCAAACGAGAACTTAGAACATGGGTCACATGTAACCAACCAGACAGGATACGCGAGGTGACCCTGGCCAGATTGAGGTGTGGTCATACTCGCCTCACCCATGGCCACCTTTTTGATAGGACAGGCCCTCCGATTTGCCACACCTGTGACACACGCATCTCCGTAGAGCACATTTTGATCGCATGCACGGCATTGCATCACGAACGAAGACACATCACTAACTATCTTGCGGTACAACACCTTAAAAACGACCTCCCGACGCTTCTCGGGGACGACACAACATTGACAAACCTGGTACTTGATTTCGTCCTAACATCACCCTACTCAGAGCTACTTTAACGGCCTTGACTGTTAGCAGGCGCCCGTTTCGCTACCACCAGGCTGACTTGTGATACGGGGTGGGTCGGGTTTTTCGCTGGTGCCGAAACACAGAGCTTCGGTGGCAGACGGGTTTTCTCCTGCCGCTGGAGCAGGCTTAGAGGCTCAGCGGCCCAGCGAGCTACACCAGCGGACCCCGGCCGCTGAACAGCGGCGGCGGCCGGGTTGAACGACCACAGTCCACAGAAAACCGTCGGCCGCCAACTGCAGCAGCGACAGATTCCCCATCCTCCAAACCATTCCTTTCATCGTGACGCTTAAACATTCACAAACCCCATCCCTCCCAGCGACATATCCCCCACTCTTCAAACCATTCCTGTCATCCAACTCTCGTAACCTTACCATTCACAAACCTCCTCCTTCCTCCCTTCACAAACATCAATTTACCGGTAAGTTTCACTGTCATTTATGTGTCTTAACGTAAATTCATGGGTTTTTTCCCATATTCATGGCATAGTACATGGATATGGGTTTTCCCATGTTGTCTTGCTGTGTAAAAGTGGCCACCGGTCTTAGTTAGGACGGCCGGTTTGTTTTGCGCGGCGTAGTTTGAGTTAGGTCGCCGCCCTCCTCGCGAGGCCGGTAACGTAAGTTAGGGCCACTAAAAAAAAAGAAAAAAAAAAAGACAGTAGCAGCAGATACAGATACAGTCATGCAGTAGCGAGGGTAGCGAGGGCTCTGGGTTTTATTTTTTAAAGGTTTCATTTTTTTGGAAGTCTTCACCGATTGAAATGAGTGTATTTAAAAGTTTAAGGGTCTTAAGAACAGGTGAGGAACATCTTAACGCAAGCAGAGTGTGTTATTGTGGGTGCAGGTTTAGTAAAGGAGGACATTCCAATTTAATTCTAAATTTGTCCTTTATTGGTCTCGTATTTCCCAAATCAATAAGACAATGTAAGATAAAGCATTGCAAAATACCTTAGTAGGCCTAGATCTAACCTGAATATCTTGCAGACAATATGGGGCATTCACTTCTCTCTATCAATTAGCATCTAAATCTGAATATTATTTGGTCACTTCAAAAGAAAATTTGGCATCCCACAAAGATATTGCTTCTTATAACAAGGCAACCCAAGAGGAGCAAAAATCTGAGCAGTTTTTGGGAAGTGGATACTGAGTAGCTTTTGGGAAGACAGAGATCCTAGGTCATCTGTGTATGTTTGCAGACATGTGTGCTTGGAACAAATACCTCTTAGATTTTTTCTAGGTCTTCTGAATCTTAAATTTTCTATTTTCTAAGGTTAAATATTTTTGCCAGGTGTTAATCAATCACCCTATATTTTTGTTGAATGGTGCTGTATTCTGTATGTATCCTAGCTACCTGTTTGCTTTGTATTGAAATGTTCAATGCGGGCTGCTGCTTTATGCCATGTAAGAAGAAAATTTATCATTTGCTGGACCATTGCAATCCTAATCATTACCTGCTTAACAGAAGTTACTTGAAATAATTCCCCATAGTGCATTTGAAAAAGAGCTGCATTTGATTGTACAGTGATCTCATTACTGCTAAATCCAATTCTTCTTAGAGGGCATGACTGCCATACTTAGCCCCTGGGTACTGATAAGATTCTCACTACCAACTCACAGATGAAGGTCATAGTTGCTTTTTCATGGTATGGACAATAAGTTTTTCAGGAAGTCTGGTGTAATGGCCATGGGCGAAGTTCAACACAGCAGCCATTCACTGCCAGTGTTTCTGCTCTCCGTGCCATTACAGCACTGCCAGTCATCAACACGTCTCAGCCGGTGCGGTGGCGCGTGCGGGACGTCAAGGACGTGGTCAAATGGCGGCCGATCACGCGTCCGTCCAAGCTGTCGCCGGCTTACACCGGAGACCTGGGCGTCACCGAGCCGGTGGACGAGAGCCAGCCGCAGTCGGCCGTCAGCGCCGCGCGGGAAGAGTTCGACAGGTGCGTGCCGCTGGAAACGATAATTGTAGGAATAGTGGTTTCGTGCGTTTAGTCGATGGTTTTTCACTTCGAGCTATCTCTCGGTGTTTATGGATAGTAGCAGTGACAATTTTTGACCACGTGCCGTATTCTCGTCGATCATCGTCGATGCCGGTCCCGTAGCTCAGTTGGTAGAGCGTTGGACTCCGCGTGGTGAGAGCACGCGTTCCCGGTTACAACAGTCCGGGTTCGAAGCGCGACGGGCGCTTGACATTTATGGGCCTCCTGACAGGTATGGTTGCGGTTGGTGGCAGGCCATAGCCAGGCGAAGTCAGTGAGGGGACCGGCCGTGCGCGGCTATGTGCGCACGTTAAACTTTGGACTCTAAATTCTGCCATAGAACTGGAATTGCGCGATCGGAGGGTAGAGGGCAGGGTCACCGCAACAAGCTTCGCTTAGCGGTGGCTCTGTCCTTGTGAATCCTTCCCATCAAAAGGTTCGGACTAAATTTATATAAAAAAATCATTTTCGTAAAATTTTCCTACGCATGACCTAGTTATTCGTAATTTTTATTTTAATCACATGAACCCCGTCAATAAAAACTTAAGAAGTGTCGACGTGAATACCAAATTATACTTACGAAAGAAAACCTACTTACGAAGTCGACGTGAATACGACCCCAGGTGTTCTTTATGCCCGTGTCATACTGCTCGTTTAGGTCATTTCATCTCGCTGGTGTTTCCTGCCATTTGATGTTTCTCACTCGTGCGTTTGTTCTCTCGCCGTCAGATCTGATGACGTCACTAAGCGAGTGTTGTCGCTGGAGTTTGCCCGTGGGGTAGAGAAGACCAAACAGCTGGAGGATAAGGCGATGGCTTTCGTTCAGCGGCACCGATTCGATACGGAATCACCCGAGGCACAAAGTGAGTCACACCCCACAAGAAAGTGCAGTCCCGTGAAAATTCACAAGATAGGACGTGTTCCAGCGATGCTAATTGATAATTATCCGTTAGTGCCTTATATCACGTGAACTGGCCAGACAGCTGGTGCAGTGAGTGAGTATACCAGTGTGCGCTGACCAAACCTGTCTAACCGCTGGCGGTTAACCGCTTACGGCCCTCTAACCGCTGACGGCCCTTCCCCGTCCTTTCCCGCAGTCGGCCGGATGACGGCAAAGATCCGGCGTTACCAGCTGCTGCTTCAGGACCCGGCCATATTCAAGAGCAGCTCTCTGATGCGTGCGCGGGTTCACGACCTGGCGCACAAGCGCAGCGGTCTGCTACGCAAACTGCGCGCCACAGACTACCGGCGCTTCGAGTGGCTACTGGAGCAGCTGGAGATCGTCTACCGGCCGCCGCTGCCCTACAAGTGAGTGACGAGTGGGCTGCTTTGCTGCTTTGGTGTTCGACTGCTTGTCGTTAGGGCTCTAAGGGAAAGAGTATTTTGTATATGGATTGCGAGCTACGTACCTACCATAAATGCCAAAATTGAGGGCCCGGAAAATCTGCGGACGACATTCCAAAACAGGATCTATAACTCACTAACTAAACTGTTGAAGCAAGAGCTTTGAGTTTTTAAATCACTTCATCAAAGCTGGTTTCTTTTGGAGCTTGGCTTTTGGCTTTCTAGACGCTGGCATGCACAAATCAGCGTCAGCTCGGTACCTAGTCATCGCTTCCCTGGTGTCTTCGTTCGATAGATGTCGCCAGTGTTCCTCTTATGGGTAAATCGCCGTTCATCTCATTCCCCCGCCGATTCCAGCTGTTTCCACCTCTTTAGTGTCTGTTAAATGGTGATTTTGAAAAGAGAATTTCGCTTGCCTTGCTGTCATTGGTGTATCTCACACCTGTTGAGTTCATTGGACACACTCCTTCATTCAGCACGGCCCTAGAGGTGCACGGTTCATTTAGTTATTGATCATTGCCTTATTTATGTAAGCGTAGAATTTCTCACAGATGTTCCTTACATTTTCGTTTCGATCAAGATCCAAGCAATCATGTTGTGCAAATAACATAGCTGTAATTGCTTTTGAAGTTGGTTTTCTTCGATACCCTACCGCTCTCAATGATTCATTCTGCTTCCTCAATGACAATGACTCTTCACTGCTCTGCTGTCAATAGCTGTTGAAGAGCACATTTAACCGCCTTGTTAGTTTGCCATCCGTGTGCATCATTAAAATGTTCTCAGTCCGCTAAATAATGTTTGTATTTTGTGCACGATCAATGCACAATGTTCTAATTGGCTGTTGGCACATTATGACGCACCATACTCTTTGTTTCCAATTTACTCTGCTCTTCTCAGGTTGTTTAGCTGTTTGTGGCCAGTTGACCTACAAATGCCCTCTAGATGTTATAATGATCCCATGCCAGCTGCATGCGTTGGTCGGCATCTAAGCGGCTTATCGGCGATTGGTTCCATTTGAGTTGCTGGGCTCTGCCAGACACTTTTTTCTTCCTAGTACACACTGTGACTCAACTGATCAACTTACCCGCTCGTCAATTTTCCTAGGAACAGGACTAATGAGAAAGCGATTAGGGTGGATACAATGAGGCTTATGATGGAAGGGACGAGCCTTCCTTATCCATTATTTATCGCTGTGTTTACCTGTGAAATAATATGCTTGCTTTTTGCCGCGAACCTAATAGTGTGTCATTTTCAGGCACTTAAAACTAACTGGAACCGAATAGAGATAAATAATGGTTTTCGTAGTCAGATTGCTGACTAAAACTGGAACACAAACACAGGGTATTATGGTATATTTCATAATCAAAACAAAGCGATTCCCATGTAACAATGGCTTACAAATACCGTTTGTTGAAAAATGCTTGCATGAACCAAGCCACAATGCCTTTCAACTATCACATGTAAATCCAGGTAAACGTAGCACTCTGTGCACGCTCTGCCCACCTGCAATTTCGGCAACATGTGATGCTGCAACAGACTGCAAAGGCTGTCAGTCATTTGCACTGGGGATGGCCACACAATGCCGCTATCTGGCCGTCTCTGCTCTGTCCTTGTGACATCCCGGTCGTTCTGCTCTGCTGAGACGTCAGTCAGGCTCCGTGCTCTGGCCGTTCCCGTGCTGTCGATGCTATCTCTCCGGCCTGATTCGGGTGTCGGTGCGCGGCTGAGCCGCTATGTGTTAATTGATCTGATTTCCACGGCTGTCTCGCCGTCTGAGTAATGCGCCACAATGGATCTGTTATCACGCCATCAGCCTCCACTCGGTCCTGGGTGGTCAGTGGTTACCACTTACCAGCTCCTCTGGGCCTGAGGAGAGGAGTCTGTTGTCCGACCCGGCCCGAAAACGGCCTGTGGTATGATCTCACCCAAACAGCGGTTTTTGTAGTCGCATCCTGTCCGAAGAACGGTTCGTCTTCTGATCCCCTCCGATCCAGCAAGTCGTCCTTGGTCCGATCCTAACTTGAAATATATTAGTCTAATTCTCCCCAGGCTCTCATTTATCCCATCACCCGCACGATGATCCTGTCAGAGATTCCTTACCGCCGTGACGTCAAATCGTGACGTCACTGGTCTTCCCGATGATACTGGCACGCAGACGTGCGTGTTCTACACTGGCACCGGTTTCCCGGGCTGACGGGATGGTACGCTAATGAGCGCTGCCCAAATTACCTCGTGGTGGCGTATTCCAAGTCGGTTTCTCACGCGAAAGGTCTTAACTTACGGCCGCTGAGGCGATCTTTCAACGGGAGGCGATTTGTAGTTTTATTTACTGCGGTAGGTAGGAGGCAGTCCAGTGGATGAGTTTTCTTGTCACGAACTGTGCACAGTAGCCAATTCTGGTGTGGGTATTTGTTTTGGCGTGTTGTCTTTATGAGATTGTGGTGCTGTTCGCTTATCGGCAGAAACAAAATGCACTGCACTGATCAACATCATCAATATTACAGAGTTTGCTTTTGTTTTCATGCCGTCACCCATCGGCAATTCAGAAGACTATCGATATAGGTACCGTTTCGCAAAAAAATAACATTGTATTTTAGGTAGCAAGTTATACCTATAATAAATTTGTAAATAATGTGAGCACAACAGTAATTTCAAAAATTATATTTTGGATAGAAGGAATGAAGACCCTGCTTAAATCCATGGACGCTACTGATTACGGCAGTCCGACTCCGAGCTCCCAAAATCTCCACTGGTATCCTGACATTCAAAGTCTCATCCAGACTCCAGAATCGAACGTCCTGAAAGCACGGCCCTGAAAGTCGCCAGCTCCTTCAAGTATCAACGTCTCCAGTCCTCGCCTACTCCATCGACATCTAAGCAGACTTTAAGCGTTCCAATCGGCCGGCAGTATCCAGCCCTGCCTACTCCGACGATCTCTAAGCCGCCGCTAAGCGTTCCATTCGGCCGGCAGGACGGACGTCACTCTCTGTCGCAAGACCAGCATCCGTCGCATGGTGCAGATCTTCTGCGACAACATCCGCCAGGAGAAGTTGGACGCGCTGCGCCGTCAGCTCGACTCGGAGAAGCCGGCGTTCGAGGAGGAGCGCCGGCGCGCCTGTGAGTGGATAGCCGAGGAGGAGCGCGCCCTGGGACTGCCGCTGAGCGTGGACACCGAGCGGGGCTGTCTGCTCGAGCCGCGCCTGCCCAAACGGGTGGTGATCCCACCCCGGCGCGAGCAGGCGCAGGCGTGAGCCGCCGCGCGGTGGAACTGAGTGTGTGTGAGAGGTGGGGAGCACAGTCGGAATGGGTGGGCATGATGGAGATGTGTGTGTTGGTGTCACTGGAAAGAGGAGAAAGTGTCAAATAGAAGGGTTTGTGTGTCCGTGTCTGTGTGTTTGGGAGAGAGTGTGTTCGACCGGGTAGTTTGATGGCTATCTGAGGCTTGGTCGCCCGGGGACCAAGAGAGAGACTACCGAAGGTAAAGTGATGGCGTCAGTTCCATGAATGTTGGCCACTGTCTGGGTCATGTGGGGGAGAGACGGGGTTTTCTCGACCGTG